GGACGGTGCTGGCGCCGCTGCCCCCGGGCAGGCCCCCCGCCACTAGATGCAGCTGTTGTATCCACTTCGCGCTGCCTGTTCTGCTCCGAAATGTGGCTCTTCCCAAAATCTCAGCTGGCAAAACTTTCATGTTTTTTGCCCCAAAGGTACGTAGATCCCGTAAGGGAAATTTGAGGATGAATCTGGGTGGTTTTTCTTTGTTGGTTTTCATGTAGAATATATAGCGAGCTTGATGCTCTGGGGTGGGAAGAGTTTTACCCCGGCTGGGGAAGTGACTGTCCTGGTTGCTGTGTTGCGCTCAGCAATCTCGGCGTTTAAAGGCTATTAAAAATGGCCGGGGGAGTCCTGCAGTTGTCTTTTCAGACCATAGTATGATCCTTTCCTGTTGTTTGAACTGCAGGAACAGCCATGACCGTAGTCTGTGACACTGAAAATACAGCTCTGACTTATACCAGCTCCAGACTGGAACAAAGAAATAAAAGAGCTGGTCCTTTATTGCTAGAAGTTGTTCTTTTGGGCCAATTGAAAGGAACGAGTTACAATAAATAGAACGGTTCTTGGAAGGGGAGTCGTTACAATCTGCTTCCTGACTTTCTGCTACAGGGCGCTTGTCCGTGCACTCACTGCATCCTCTGCCCGGGTTTGGAGATGTGCCCCGATCATCTGGAACTTCTCCCTTTCCTAACTTTGTAGCATGAATGTACACTAACTCTTTTCTAGTGTGTGGATTGTACAACCAGGCCTCTGCCTTCTGTAAATTATTCTAAGGACCTAGAGATGTACGACCCAGCTTGCTCTCCTATAGAAACTATTTTATTTGAGATATATTTTTACACCAGCTACGATCCTCTGACCTTTTGCTGAAAGCTTGCTTTGTGTAGAACACTAAGATGCTGTACTGTATCTTGGAATTCATTTTCAAAAAATGTGATTGAAAATTAAACCGGCGTGCAGTATTTCTGTTTGTGTATTCAACTGGAAGCGGAGGGAGGAGAAGGCAGGGAGAACTACGAAACATGCGACTTGCTCTGTTTGAAGTCTTCTACTTTTTAACTCCAAGGCAAAGCTGTCCAAACGCGCTCTTTGTCGTGTTTGGGTTGGGGGGAAGTTTGGTTGAGCTGAGCTGATAAGAGCAGATAAGGCAGGGTAATTATCTCTGGCTCATTAGAAGGGGGCAGCTCATGCAGAAAAAACTAGGGTTGTTGAATACTTTTGTGTTAAACCAAATTACCCTCAGTCCTTGAGTCCCCTCCACCTTCTCCGAAAATCATCATCCCAGGTGGTTGAGGTACCCTGCGGTGTCCCTCTGGGGGTTTATTCACTGCTGGGCTCCCCCCAGACCCCGCTGGGTGAGGCCGAGGGCGCTCTCCCTTGCGAGACTTCCCCCACGGTGGGACCAAACTCTGTCTGGCCGCGGGGCAGAAGCAGCGCCGATGTGGCTTCAGCCCACGCGTGGTGTGTGGTGAAGGGGAAAGTCCCAGGGAAGGCCGGTCTGTGACTCTTCCTTACCCATCGTGCGAACACCCCACTGCCTGGAGAAAGCAGCGGCGCCCAGCGCTCTCCAGCCTGTAATGGGGTTTTTGCCGTCTGTGCCTCACCCAACAGGTCAGCTTTGGGGCTGATGACTCAGTATCACCACAGGAGAAGGTTGCAGCAGCAGAAAAAAAAACAAGTACTGGACAGCTGAGATTGGCCCAACTCCTTAAAATAGACTGGTTTGTTTTTTGGTTTTTTTTTTAAATCATGAAAGAAACACACGCCCCCGCTCCCTGATGAACAGCAAAGGGCTTTTACTGTCTCTGCCAGTGCTGTGTGGGGTGGCTGGAGTGCTATCAAAGAGCTCTGGGACAAAGCCTGCCTTGGCGCTTGCCACGTGGCAGCAATGGAGAGATGTTGTAGCAGGAGCAAGAAACGGGGGACCTGCTCTCCCCGCAAAGGACCGCTGGCGGCCAGCACGTTCAGTAAACTTCACTGGTTCCTGCTGTTCCCTCTCCACAAAAGGCCCCTGATTCACCGGCTGGCAGAGAGGGAACATGATGGCAAAATGACTCGTGATTCTGCATATGTGGGCAGGACGGTAACAGAAACACCCAAGGCAGCCCAAGAACCTCCGATGTCAGCTCAGCACCTCTGTAGCGAGAGCATCCGCCTGCTCGTGCGAGGAGGTCATTGGGGACCGCAGGAAAGGCTGCGGGATTTAAAATGGCCATGGAGAAACACAGATGGAGCGGAGTGACAGCCAGAAGTCGCACGAAGCTTGGCAGAGTCCTCCACGCTTTGAGGATGCTGAAATGATTCACTCCAGCAGCTGTTCCCGAGCGAGCGGAGGGGAGAGGCGGTTAGACAGGGCGATGGGTCGGCACGGCTTCTCAGCAGCTGGGAGGAGCAGCGCCTGCAGCCGAAGGGACTGCAGGGACAGAAAGGGCCATGTCCCCCTGCTTGGAAGGGAAATGCAGTGCAGCTCGGGGTGAGCTGGAGCCCAGAGCTCAGCTGTCACTGCTTCATACCAGGGCTGTTCCCCGTAAGCAAAGTCCAGATTGGCAGGAGGTCCCAAAAGCAGCGCTGCTTGGTGGGACTCGACTCCATGGTGAGGTGGGCTTTACCTCCAGCATCCGCAGGGTACATCCCTCAGCTCCGAGCAGGATCTGCTGGGGTGGGAGGGGAACGCAGTGCCCAGGAGATCTGTTGCCACCTGAGCTCCAGAACCCCCTGGTCTCTCTGCTGGTGGCTTTCCATGAGCCCTTTTGTGGCCAGCCCAGCAGCAGCCTGAGGAGCTTGCCCGGTGTAGCCCAGCCGGCCACAGGTACTGCAGTTTGGGGTGAGATGCCTGGCTGGCATCGCTCTGTTTCACATGGTTCCAAGGACTCGTTAATTTTTCGGTGGGCTAATTTGCCTCTTGGGAAGAACCTGTCCCTTAACACCAATTAATCCCCTCCGTGACACACATGCTCTTTTAGGTCCTGAGGTCTCGGGTGAGGTGACGTCTCTCCGGTTTGTGCCCTAGAAAAACCTCGTGTGGTGCCACTAGCAGAGCGGACTCAGAATCGCTCCAAGGGTGACTCTCCATCCATCCGAGCGGCTGGAGCGCCCCACGGCCATGCTGTGCCCCCTGTGCCCGTGCCACAGCCAGCCCGGGCCGCTCCGAAGGGACACGCTGCCGTCCCACCACCCGCTCTCCGTTCCCTTTACCTTTTCACCGGAGCCCAACTCCCCAAGGCCCCACGGAAAATTCCTGCCTTGATCTGCACCAAACGACTTGTCTGTTCTTGTTTGAGCTCTGAGAGATTCACATCCATTTCTCTGAGGATTTCCCCCCTCCCTCTTTTTACATAAATGGGCATTTTGGTCTAATAACTGTATTCTGAAGGCAGATGCACTCAGCTGGTGCAGCTCTCCACAGCAGGTCTTACACCAGGACAGTCAGCAGTGTTTGGAAGGATGTTTTGCAGCACGGGAGGGATTTTTGTGTATTCGTTCTCCAGCCTGAATTCCTGCACACGTTTCCCAAGGCAAGAGCCAACTCTCTGCACTGGTTCGCTTCGGCCTCCAAGGGGCAACAGCAAAATAGCGAGAGCTCTGCTGGAAGGAGGAAGCAATTTGTGATATCTGCTTTCATTTCGAGCCCAAGTTACAACCCCACGCCTAACCCTTCCTGCTCCCGCACTACCCGTGAGCAAACGTTATTTATAGCGGCAAGCAGCATTTATAGCTTTGCCCCTTCTTGACCTGGAAGTAATTGGTTAATTGAGTTAAGACAACAAACCTCAAGACACTCACGTGGTTTCCTTCCACCTTCTCACAGGGAGCTGGAGAGTCAAAATCCTTCCATCCTGAGCCGGTTAAAAACATCAAACACATCAGAGAGAGCAATGGTCACTTCCCCACCGGGAAATTGGTCCCTGTTGGAACCTCCTTCAGGGCCAACAGCTCCTATAAAGTGGCTGCACCTGGAGAGGGTCACTGCCGAGCTGGAGCTGGAGCTGGAGCTGGAGCTGGAGCTGGCGCTGGCGCTGGCGCTGGCTCTGGGGTAGGTGGGAGCTCTTTGCGGAGGGTTTCCCGTGCTGTGCCAAGGCTGGGAAGCAGCGGAAAGCTTTGCTGCTCACTGGTGGGAGCCGTGCTCTGAGCGGACCCGCCTGACCTCACCAGGAGACTGAGATTTTGGTCTTTTGCACAGGTTTTAGTAATGTGATGGCTCCGTGGTTGTATGGGTTAGCTGGGTCTGTGGGCTTGAGGGCAGCGGGGTGAGGACGAGCTCTCGTCTCGCTTGCGCTGTGTTAAGTGTGTGTCTTATTCCCAACCTGAGATCCCTGGGGCTGTGCTGGTCTCTGGTGCTGGGCCCTGCGTGTTCCTTGTCATCTACCCCTATGGATGTTTCAGCCAATACAGATGATAGTACAGATGTCCTGCAAAAAAAAAAAGCCCTTTCAATATCAGCTGTTTGGTGACCAAAAAAACCCACACAAGCAACTCATGTCAACATGAGAAAATACTCTAAGGGATTATAATGTGTCCAGTTTTGGGCTCCCCAGTTCAAGAGGGACAGGGAACTGCTGGAGAGGGTCCAGCAAAGGGCAGCTAAGACGATTGAGGGATTGGAGCATCTCCCTTATGAAGGAAGGCTGAGAGAGCTGGAACTCTTTAGCCTGGAGAAGAGAAGGCTGAGGGGAGACCTTATTATGGCATACAAGTATCTAAAGGGTGGGTTGAAGAAGGATGGAGCCAGACTCCTTTCAGTGGTTCCCAGTGACAGGACGAGGGGCAATGGGCACAAGTTGGAACACAGGAAGTTCCGTTCAAATACACGGAAAAACTTCTTTACGGTTCGGGTGACAGAGCAGTGGCACAGGCTGCCCAGGGAGGTTGTGGAGTCTCCTTCTCTGGAGGTTTTCAGAACCCGCCTGGATGCACTCCTGAGTAATGTGCTCTGGGCAATCCTGCTTTAGCAGGGGAGTTGGACCAGATGATCTCTAGAGGTCCCTTCCAACTCTGAAGATTCTAAGATTCTAAGATCTGAAGGTGGCACGTCAGTGGCAACGCTTCTCTTCTGCGCTGCTGAAGGGGTTGTGCTCGCAAAAGTGCTTAAGTTGAGCTGTGAAGCCTTCGTGTTTGTGCTTGGGGGTGGGCAGGGAGCTACAGGTGCTCCATGTAATGCCGGCAGAGGTTGCAAAACATTCTCAAACACCCCCTGGTGGGCTTTTCCTGGGGGTAGACTGCAACTTAGCTGTTTCTCTTGCCTGTTATCAGTGCCCCTCTGCGCTGCGATGGTCTTGGAGGACAGTGTCAGCGTCAGTGTAGGACGCACCTTGGTTTTCTGTATGCAAAGATGATGTTCCTGACAAGCGTTTACATGCCTCTGCCTCCCTCTTCCCTCGTGTCTCTCTTTATATGTGACTCTGTGATATTTATTAGTCTGTATTGATGTGTGATGCTGTCAGGTGAAGAAATGTATGCTCTTGCCCTGTAAAACAGAGGGCATTAAGCGCATGAAAGAAGCCCACCTTGGGGGGGTCCTTCTCTCTGGGGTGGGGGGAGACCCCCCCACTAGAGGTGTGAGCAAGGTTCCAAGGCAGCTTCATGGTCTCCGTGTCTGAACTCTGTAAACCTAAAATAAACCCACAGTAAATCTGTTTAGCATGTCAAACGTGACTAGATCTCCTAGAACAATTCCTGTACACTACTGGTAATCTCAGTCCAAGCAGAATTCCTATAGACTGGAGAAACTCCTAGTGCCGTTGGCTCATATCCACGGTCTGTGTGCAGTCCCAGTTGGAAAACCTTCTGTGAGGGCTGGAGAAGCCAAGCGGGCGATGCAGCCGAGCGAGGTGGGTGAGCTGGAGTTGTCCACAGGAGACAGGGATGCTGCAGCAGCCAGCGGCCCCGCCACGATGGAGGGAGAGCTGGCCGGTCTTGTCTGAACACAGCCGTGCCAAGAGCTTCCCTCTGCAAGCGCAGGGGTTGCATGAGGAGCGAAGAAGACTTTTTCCAAGCAATTCTCCTTGGCAGCTTTCGAACATGCTCCGGCTTCACTGGAGCGAAGAAGAAATCCCAACGGGATCCTGCCTGTTTGGTGAAGGAGCACCAAGAGCTGAGCGCAGCCCCGGAGCTCCTGGCTTCCACCCCTGGCTAACATACCACTGCAGCTTCATCGCAAGGAGTCAGACACCTATTCCTCCTCCCAAGAAATCAACGGGAAGGAATGAACAAAGGTGTAAAAGCCAATGTTTATAGGCAGCTGGGTGGGAATGCGGGCAGCGTGCTGAAATCACAGCATTTTCCTCTGCGGCGATCGGAGTCAAACTGCAGAAGCAGTTAAGAGGATTAGATATTTTTGATCATATTTGCAGCTGCGTTAGCTATAACCGAGAGGAGAAATCCAAATGCTTCATCTTGGGAAGTGTCTCCGAGCCTGGAAGAGAGCGTTCCCTTGGGACCCCGCATCTGGGTATGTGCTCAGCCACGGTTGTTTTACAGAGCTACGAGGATTTGTCATTCCTACAGCCGAAGCAGTGGCGTTTGGCTCCCTTGAAGACCCGGGCTCCCGTGGAAAACTCGCTGCGAGCCAGCCCGGATGCAGGGCTCCGAGTTGTAATAACGTCTCCAAAATGTCAGCTCCCACGCAGAAGGCCTACGTCTCTCGAGTGCCACAGCCTAAAGGAAGAACACGTTAGACGCCGTGCCAGGTTTAGAGCCAGATGTGAGAAGGGAGATCCCTCCCTGGACATCACTAAGAGGATTTCTTTACCGGTTGTCTTAGCCCTGCGGTGCTTTAGCAAGGAAAACTAATTGCACTGTACAGTCAAGTTTCAGCATCTCATTCTCACATATTTAGTGCTGTTACCGTCCAAATAAAAATACCTGATCATTCCCGCTGAAGCTGAGCCCTGCAGAGATGCTGGTGATGCGCTGCCGGCACTGTAGTAGGAAGCTCCCTTGCTTTTCCCGAGGGACACCTCTGATGAGCCCTTGGCCTCCACCGCAGGCAGGATGGGCTGAGGGGGAGTATGGAATCCATTAAGCTCTTTTTCCAATCTTAAATAAAAACGTGGCCATGTAACCAAGGAAGAAGACATCACACGTGTGCGTTTGCTGGAAGCACTTGGCCTCGCTTGCAGAGGCTGCCTGGGGTTCCTGTGCGGAGGGGTGCTGGTCCTTTCTCCACGGATGGAGGCTCGGCTGATGCTCCTGGCGGGGGCAGGCAGGTTCCTCATGAAGACAAAATCCCCGATCTGATCCCCAGGTGTAACGTGTCGGAGGAGGGGAAAAGTTCTGCATCTCGCTTCCGATTTGCCTGATGATTTTAGCACAGAGTCTTAGCGAACAAGGGAAGGAGTGCCAGAGGGAAAAAATTCAACCCTCTCCAAACACGGTCGTGTGGTAGTCATCTGCCAAAAAACATAAACCAAGATCACAACCCTAAATTTGTCCTTTGAATGTACCTGTGCCTGTTCTGTAGTAGTTTCCTCCTAATCCCCAGGGATTAATACTGCAGTGCATTGAAACATCTGAGGTGAAGGGGCACAGTGGAAATTCCTTGCGGGCTGGTAATAATAACTGAAAGCTGCTCTGTGAAGCAAACCTGAGGCTGACTTGGTTTTTAATGGACATCTGTCTGTAGGGGGAAAAAAATGCCATGGCAACTGGCTTTCTTGTTGGCATGCCTGTCTCAGCGCAGGGACGGGGAGAGGGTGGGTATTGCGGGGTCTGTGTAGCTGCGCTTGGGAAAGGTGGAGGTACAGCTCGACGAGGCTGTGAGGCAAAGGTTGTTTATGCTCTGTGAGCACCAGATCTTGAGGGATTTAAGAGCTAAATCTTGGCATAACGATCACTTTGTGTGCCGCTGCTTAGCGGGAGCTAGGCTGGGTTCCCCCCCTCCCTTTTGTAAAAATGTGAAATCTGAAAGCGTAAAGCGCCCGGCTGCAGATTGCCTGGCAGTTTGCTGGGCAGAACTGGGGTCTCCCAGTTTGCAGTTCTGTCCCGAAACAATTGCTATGGAGCTGGAGCATCACCATACGGGTCCTGCAGCTTTGCCACCTAAGGAAGGAAATGCTTTTGTTCAGTGTCCGAGGTCAATGAAAATGGAGAGCAAGGTTCATCAAAATGTTGGTTATAGGTAAAACGAGCTCTGGCACTTCTGTACCTCTCTCCTGAGCTCCGTGGATGTCAGCATTTCCCTTCATCTCCTGTTGGTTGCAGGAGAAGCAGCTGGGACGCGTGGCTCAGTAGGCATATCCATCACCTGCACCCTGTCTGAACTGAGCTGGAGGGGGATGCTGGTGGGCTCAGAGAAACTGGGAAGAAATAGCTATTAAAGGGATTGAGAGCGGCCCTGCCGAGAAGGACTCAGGGGTGCTGGGGGGTGAAAAGCTGGACATGAGCCGACAATGTGTGCTGGCAGCTCAGAAAGCCCCCGGCATCCCGGGCTGCATCCCCAGCAGCGTGGCCAGCAGGGCGAGGGGGGGATTGTGCCCCTCTGCTGCGCTCTGCTCTGGGGAGACCCCCCTGCAGTGCTGCCTCCAGCTCGGGGGGTCCCACCAGCAGAAGGAGACGGAGCTGTTGGAGCGGGGCCAGAGGAGGGCACGGAGATGCTGGGAGGGGCTCCAGCAGAGCTGGGGAGGGACTTTTTAGCAGGGCCTGTTGTGACAGGACAAGGGGTGATGGCTTTAAACTAAAAGGGAAGATTTAGGGTGGATATAAGGAAGGCATTTTTTACAATGCAGGTGGTGCAACACTGGCCCAGGTTGCCCAGAGAGGTGGGAGATGCCCCATCCCTGGAAACATTCCAGATCAGGTGGGACGGGGCTCTGAGCAACCTGGTCTAGTTGAAGATGCCCCTGCTTATTGCAGAGGGGTGGACTAGATGACCTTCAAAGGTCCCTTCCCACCCAAACTATTCTATGAGAAAAGTGCAAGTGTGGATCAAAAACTGTATCTGAGAGGAGCTGACCTCTGCTTGGGGCCGAGCTGTGAATCTGAGGGGCTGCAGGCAACGAGAAGGCACCAGGGTGGGGAGGAAAGGCAGAGGCGGGC